AGACAGCGCATATGGAAGGTATTCAGTCTTTTTTCCTGTGGAGCATAGAGAGTCCAGGATTCGCAGCCGTACAGTAATGTGCTCGGGACACAAGACTCATAAACCTTCATTTTTGTATTATCAGTTAGCTTTTTGTTTGACCAGACTCTCTTTGTGAGATTTGCAAACATAGCAGAGGCATTTCCTATATGTTTGTTTAGTTCTGCATCCAGAGAATGATTGCCTGAGATACGTGAGCCTAGGTACTAAAACTCATTTACAGCCAGCAGCTGATGGTCATACACACTAATGTTTGGTGGATTTCCAACATTCAACCCCATCACTTGTGTTTTGTTCAGACTGATGGTAAGCCCAAATTCTTTGCAAGCATTTGCAAAGCGATTCATCAGGATCTGCAGATCATCCTCTGAATGTGCCACAATGGCTGCATCATCCGCAAACAGAAAATCCCTGAGGCATCTCGTGTGCACCTTCGTCCTTGCACGTAGCCTGGACAGATGAAAAAGATTGCCATCTGACCTCGAACGGAGGTATATCCCCTCAGATGCTGTCCCAAATGCACGCCTCAATAATGCGCTAAAAAAAAGATGCCAAACAGCGTGGGAGCCAGAACACATCCTTGCTTTACTCCATTTCGAATCTGGAAGGGTCGAGATGATGAATCCTAATATATTATGGTCCCCCTCATATTCTCATGAAAGGATTTGATTAGGCTCAGTAGTATAGGTGGGCATCCATATTTTTCAAGGATCCCGAATAGACCATCTCTGCTGACATAGTCAAAGGCCTTAGTGAGATCTATGAAAGCAATGAGCAGTGGCCTCTGTTGCTCTCTGCACTTCTCTTGTAGCTGCCGGATGGAGAATATCAAATCAACTGTTGATCTCTGGGCCCTAAACCCACACTGTGATTCCGGGTATACTCTGTCCGCTAGAATTTGCAACCTCTTTAGGATAACACGAGCAAAGACTTTTCCAACATAATTCAATAGAGACGATACCGCGATAGTTGTTGCAGTCGCTTCTATCTCCCTTATTTTTATAGAGAGTTATAATGTTGGCATCTCTCATATCCTGTGGCACCGATTTTTCTTGCCAACACTGACAGAGGATCTTGTGTAGCTCAGGAAGAATACCATCCTTGGAGCATTTTAGGATCTCAGGTGGGATACCATCCTCTCCTGGGGCCTTCCCTGAAGGAAGCCCATCTACTGCCTCACCGATTGCTGTGACGGAGGATTCCGTGTCTAGTTCACCCATGGTTGGCAGACACTCCATTGCATTTAAGGCCTCTTCACATACAAAGGTGTTTGTAGCATATAGCTCTGAGTAGTGCTCCACCCAACGGTCCAGTTGCTTTGTCCGATCCTTTATGATTTCGCCCGTGGTTGATTTGAGAGGGGCAATCTTTCTTTTTACTGGTACAATAGCCTTCTTGATGCCAGCATACATTCCCCTTATGTTGCCAGTAGCTGCTGAGGTTTGTATCCTCTTACAAAGTTTGATCCAGTAATCATTAGCGCAGCGCCAGATGCATATATATATATATATATATATATATATATATATATATATATATATATATATATATATATATATATATAAAATGTGTTGTATGAACTGTTACTGTAAACTGTTAATGTGCTGAATTTATGTGTGTTAATGAGCTTACATTTTACATTATTTTGTCGTACTAGGGCTCACTTCAGGTTTATTGTTTGATTTGTTTGCCAAAGAGATGATTGACCCCAAAGGCTAATTACCTTACTATCGCGTTACGTAAAACGATGCTGTAAAAATACCGCTATCTCATTTGTGTGTTGTGCACACTTCATACCTTCTGTGTAATTGTCTGTTTTAAGAACTATCAATGACAGGTTTCTGTAGTCGATAACAGACAGACCCCACATACACTCAAACACTGGCTCACGCGCACTCACACACACCATACAACGTATCATTCGATGCCTTCTTCGTAATCGTTTTCATAGACTAAACTCCTGCGGAAAGTTCTGGTTGTTCGTCCACCTCTTTTTCCAGATCCTGAATGTTGTGTGCACATCATTTTCACAGATCTGACCTATGTGTTTTCAGATTGTTGGTTTCTAGCATATCAGGCAGATGGACTCCGTCTTCCAAGGAAAGCCCTCATTAGTCGACTTTTACGACATGCTTCTGGGGAAGACAGTAGGTGTGTTCTAGTTTGTTCCACAATTATGCCCCGCAACCCCCACGGGGATAGTTAGATGTGATGATGTTCATCTGTGTAATTCGCCCAGTACCCAGCAACGTCCCATGCGTGTATTGTTACCCTATACATTGCCTACACTACTGACTTCCTTCCATCCCATTCTTCTGTTTCGACAATCTCTTCTATTGCAGCTTTATTTTACTCCTTTATGTGCAGCAACTTTTTTTTTTATTGTAACAGAGTCAGACAAAACAATGATAGTTCGAAAGTACACACATTTTGGTCTGTGAAATGTTCTCGTAACAAGGCACAGGGACTGCAAGAGTCAAGTCGAGGTGGCTAACACGCCAGCCTGTAGCCCAATTGGTCGTGTGCTCGAAACCACAATCACGGGAGAAACCCAATCGGCAAATGCGATCTTAAAAAATCTGCCGGGCGGTTTCCCCGTTCAGCCTGGATTACCGACGTAATATCCTTCTGGTGGTCGGGCGGCCAGGCTGGGCATGTGGGGAGACCGACCCGGACCACAAAAAAAAAAAAAAAACATAATTAACGAGCGCCTTTTTTTTTTTTTTTTGCTTTTTAAGTAATCGTAGCTTCCATATCGGCTCAGTTTGAAGTTGGTACCAGGAAATGTTGACAGGGATAAAATTGCTCTAGTGGTACCCATTACATGGCACATCTAGCCTACTGAGTTGTTTTTAAATGCACTTGGCTGGCACCATATGCCCTACTCAACAGGACGTGAAAAAATGCCTTGTTCTTTTTTTCCATCACTGATTTGAAAGATAATGTGATGAGGTCACAAACTACCTCAACAAGCGGCACAGAACGACTACAGTGTGGCTGCACATCTGAAGAAATAAAGATAAATCCTAAACTCTCTAAACCAGTGATTCCCAGATTTGTTTGACCACCGCCCCCTTCTCAGTGACAAAAAATTACCCAGCAGTGCCCTCTAAGGAAATATCATCATCATGTGCTGCGCCGAAAAGCACAGACAGCCTTCCTATACAATCTGCAGAATCAGGAATCACCTGGTGAACCGTGGACAAACCATCAAGGTATTTATCTCTGTGCTTTCCCTCTTCCTCTTTCTATCAATTTGTATCGTTGTCACCAAGTTCTCCAGTCTATTATTGTCCTTTTTTTCTACCTAACACAACCACCACCACTATTATATATATTGTTGGTATTGCAACTGCTGCTACTAACAAACGCCGACTACTAACTAGTTCAATTACTATTACTACCGCTAAAACTACTACTACTACTACTACTACTACTACTACTACTACTACTACTACTACTACTACTACTACTACTACTACTACTACTACTACTACTAACACAACAACTACTGCTACAACAACCACCACCACTACTATAGTCATTATTACAAAAACAACAAACTACTGCTACAGTTGCTGCGGCTGCTACTACAGCTACTACTACTTTTATTATTACTACTCGAACAGCCACTTTCCAGATGCCAATACAATGTCGAACCTAAGGAGGCAGTTATGGTGGGATCCTACGACTACAAACAGTAACCTTCTGTTCCCTGCACTGTGGCTAGGGAAGAATTCTGTTATTCGGAAGAGTGCTGAATTCTGTTCCCTGCGCTGTGGCTAGGGAAGTATTCTGTTGCAGCGACAGGAATGTTGTTCGAAAAAGAATGTAAGAACAAAGTGACTAGCGCGACGAATTTGTTTAAAGTGAGGAATAGTTGCGCAATTTAGACCTCACTCTTTTGCCTATATCCATCTGAATCCAGTGGCCTTGGACAGGCGAGATGGCTGAAGATGAAGTCAGGTGCAGTGGATGACCAGGGAGTTCTACGTGTCTCACTGTGCTCTCTGCGTTGCTGGTACCCACCATCAGGTCCGTTAACTGCCTTATCCGTGTTCCGTTGAGCCAGGTGTTGGACAGGAATGTTGGAGTGGAAGGGAAGAAGAGGGGAAACCTAGCCAGAAAATGTTACTTAACCATACGGCTAGAAGGAACATTTGTATGAGAAACTACTGGCACTTCACAAGACTGAAACCGTGAACAGACAAACATCCTTGATTATAATATTAGCTGAATAATTTTGTCAATTGTATCCGAGAAGCAAGTCGTGTTTTCCAACTGTTGACATTCCCATGGCTTTACCCAGTTTAACCCACTCATGTTTTGTGCTAAGAATAGTTTCAAGGACTAAATTCTGCACAATGATTGGACGACAGGCTGTAACATCATCCTCTAAATATAGAACAGCAGGGAAGCCAGGTTCAGCTCCGGTCTCTGCTGGTTCGTCAGTCAGAGGAAAGTCAGGGAAGGGACGAACAACAGCAGAGGTAGTTAACGGTAGGTTTTGTCGTTGTTTATAACATTTTATGTCATTTGTTTGTGATTAATACCTTATAGCATTGTTTAAAAGTGATTACATCTGATTTATGATTAATTCTTTGATAACCAGAACGATTGTATCTTCACAATTTGCAGAAAGGCAGGGCCAAAGCCGGCGAGCGCCGTGGTGGATTCTCTAAAGTTACAACAGCAAGGACTTGATCAGGTTGTCATCCTGGATCTCGGCGAGTTAGTAGAGGGAAACACTTTTCAGCAGATCTTACAGACTGTTGCGCACACAACCACGGCCACTGCAGAGGCGTCGGCTGGTGACAGTTTACACCTAAACATGGAAGACCTGAACGATCAAGAAGGGTTCTTTTACGACCCTGCCACAATGGGCGGAGCGATCCCTCAGTCCCTGGACGAGCTAGTAAATTTGCTGGATATCAAGGCGAGCTCTGGAACACGTAGCTCCCATGGTATCCAGCACTTCACTACGTTCGCCTCAGAAGACCTGTGGCCTATTTGACATTGGTAAGTAATTTTTTGTGTTTGACAGTTTGGGAACGTGTCAAAATGGCGAACGTGGCATTAACTGGGCGGGCATCTACGTGACGGGGAAACACTTGTCGGGTCACGTGACCAATACCTGGGCTCTATTTATAGAATTACGTCAGTTGTCTATTTATAGTAACCTAGGAAACCACCCAAAAAAAACAAACAGGATTGCACCACCAGGTGAAACAGGCTGTTAACCCTATATGGTACCAAGAGATGGAACTCACTTCAGCACATATATTCACACATACTTGTTGCAGCCATCATGAAGAGCAGCTCTTGCTGTGTTACCTTGATTGCCAGTTGCCACTGTTTACAGCCAGCATATTTCTGCAGTTACTACTTTCATCCAATCTTCTGTATTATTTTACATCCAACTTGAAACCATAAAACTTTGAACAGCTGATTGCAGACTGTTGACAGACTTGATGTTTCAGTCAGATTCTGATACAGATATCATCAGTTTGGTCTACCGTGGTATAGAACTAGATTCGTTGATCAGCTTTAATTTACAAGGTAATACTCAAGTTTTGCTGTATTAATATTGACCGGATCACACATCATCTATGGAATGATTTCACAATTTCAGTCTTGTGTCATATACTTTTCAAAATTAGTACTTTTTCTTTAAATTTACCCCATACAAAGGAAATCTTGTAGTTCTCAGGAAAATGCATTATTCTAGGCGTGTTGGGTTAGAGTTAGGGTTCGCTGGTGTCTCTGAAGCGGTCATCATCATCATCATCAGTTCTCGTTATGCCTAGTCGCACATGAGGCTTCAGAGAGGACTTTCCATGCTATCCTGTCCTGTGCAATCTTCAGTGCAGTTTTCCATGTCAGAGATGCCACATTCAGGTCACTTTCCATCGTTCGTCTCCATGTTGTTTTTGGGCGCCCCTTTTTTCTCTTTCCCTCTGGTGTCCATGTGTTTTGGCAGGTATATCAGAAGTCATTACTCTGAAGCGGTCAGGACTGACAAATATCCTAACCCCAATCCATAACACTTCTAAAATATTTGACTTTCCCATGAACTCTGGGATTTCCTCTGTTTGGGGTGAATTAAAAACTGGAAAAGTTTGGGGATTTGGGGGGTTGGGGGAGGGGGGAGGGGGGTTGCTGTGGTACTGTTTAGTTTTGAACTGTCATTCACTTCACAAGTACCATTTTCTTCCAGAGATCCTTGAGGATCATCACCAGAGCTATGGAGTTCATTGTTTGTGCAGTATATTAGCCATACACTCAGCAGAATGAATTAACAGACTTTACTGTGTGAGTCAATGATTAGGTGTGTGGGCTTGCCGGACTTATGTTAAGCACTTCCAACCTCTCATCTTTCACCCATTAAACACACACTAGCATACCTAAATGCAGGCATAATACCTACACACATATATTTACACACACACGTACATATCCAAACACACCTACATACACACGTACATATAGTGAAGTACATTTCATTTGATTTTCACTGACACAGGACTGGAGCAAGTATGGGGTGACCCGATTGCATTGAGGCTGAAACCTTGAATAAGACGTACATACCCACACACAAATATACCAGTCAAAATGGACGCTAGGCAGGGGCAGTGTTGGAGCCAAGACAAATTTTTTGCTTCTGCCGGACGGTGGCTGTTGCGGTTTTGTTCCATTGCTAGGCTGGATCTAGTTTTGTTGCCCAGCTTCTGAGTTCAATGCATGGCATGACACTGTGAGCTGCAGATTTAATTTGGAATGTTTTTTCGACTGTGACCAACATGGTGGTGTGAATTGTAGATTCCGAAAATGGTGCGTTACCTGTTTTTGCAATGTTGGTGGTGCCTGTATGTGATTAACATTTATCGGGTGTGCAACTGCTGATCTGTTAGTGACTTCTGCTACCATCAATGATGAACTGTTTGTGTTAGCACTTTGGATGGCTACCGTATGCTTTAGTGAGTGTGTATGCTAGATATGCTGAGACTGCAGTCTGTCAATCTTTCCACAATAATAAACATTCAATGTGTTTCTCGTTGGCACAGGAGCGGAGCAACAATGGGGTGACCCTTCTGCTATGAAGCTGAAACTAAGACTACCAGATACCACATACACACCCACCATAATAACCCCACATGGAGGGAGAATAAGCTATGTTGAATAAAACATGTGCAGTGAATTAGAATCTCTAATCTTAAAATTTATTTGTTCTCAAAAAAAAAAACTTTAAAAAAAAAATGACTTAATTTCTTGAAGATTTGATCTTATGTGATTTTTAACTTTTTCTTTTATCTGTAGGCTTCGCTGGTGGCGACGCTGACGTCACCAGCCTGGATTTGAATGCTCCAACTGACAATCTATTTTCACTGAATTATCTCAATTCTGCAAGCTTTGCCACCTCAGACACACCTGCTGGAGGTGAGGCTTGTGCAGATGGAAAGCTAGAGAGTTTCCAGCAGTTCACCATGGACACTTTTGACATGTTGGATCCTCTAGCAGACCTTGAGACAGACCAGCTCATGGATGACAGTCTGGAGGCATTCATTAATCTGGATCAGTTTCTCTTGGGGGTGTGTTCACTTGTGATCCTTTTGTTGTTGTCATCTGAGTAGATAAGTCACCATTGTCTTATCATTGACCATAAGGGAATCAAAGAATAGTAACACTGTAACCTGTCAAGCAAATCAAAGAAGGCAACAAGAGAGGGCTGGTGTTGAAAGTTAAATCAAGAGGATCAACTTCATTGCACCAGGTTTATTCCTATGTGACCGAGTCTCTCTTCGCAGACAAGTTTGCTTACTGTCGAGAGTGTCACACACAGTATGAACACCGCAGCTCTGGTGACGATCTCCAGGTGTCTCAATAACAATCACACTTATGAACCAAACAAAGTTGGTGTGAAATTGACTACTCCATCTCATAGACAAAATTGAACTAAGAGTCGACATCACAGCAATCAAGACACTCCCATAAGCACTGCGTCCCTATCTTCAGCAATTACAATTCCGATGGCACCAGTAATTGTCTGATTGTATATCCATCTCAACTTTCCCTTGAGTGTTGAGCATCAGCCAGATCCCGTGGTAACTCCTGGCACCGCCATTCTCCTAACAGCATAATCATCTGTTTGTGCCTCCTCATTGTTCACTCACTCTCAAAGGGCCCTCACAACATCCAGCTTGTCATACATCAGTTCAACACCAAATGATGCAGAACCGGTCAGTCTACATGTCTGCTCATTTTCCAACATACATAACCTGGAGAAAATATCCAAAGGATGCTAACTACCCAGAGCTTCTGAAGTGATGCTTGCCACTCTGCTTGAAGCATGCCTGTCTCCACCTTTCTCAATATGAATTTCTCAATTACTAAATGTGTGTAAGTCTGATTCTCAAGCAAGCGAAAGGCAGCAGTAATTGCCTCCACCTTGATTTTCAAACTAGACATTGGGATATCATATGTCTGACTTTGTTGCACTAAGCTTCGTCTATTCACTTTTGCTATGAACCCCCAAACACTTCGTCTGCCCCTCAACACCGAGCCATCTGTATAGATAATCACATCACCTGGGTGGGAATTGTCATAAATCATTTGTTGGACTTCTGATTTTGCAGCACCAGCTGGCCAGTCCCTGCAATAATGACCCAAAATGATTAGAACCCTACACAAGTCCTATTCTTGCTCGGACACTTTGACCCATTCCTCTCCTCACTCAGATTTATTAAGCCTGCACAGATGTGTGATTTGTCTTCAGCTTGCGCACTTCAAGACCTTCCTCTTTTCAGTATGTGACCCTTAGCTCTACCCAGTGCATCATGCAGGAGGTGCTTCTTGTCTTCAGCTGCTTTGAGATATGACTTAGCTTGCAGCAATTTGAGCTTATCCTAATAGTAGGCAGTGCAAGTATATATTACATACGTACTACTGGGGTATTTCTTGTATATTCCAAAATTACCCACATGGCTTTATTTTGTATGCTTTCAAGTTTCATTAGCTGACTCTTTTAAATGGTAAACATTCCAAGTGCATAATCTATCAGCGACAGGATCACATGCTGAAACATTGTGAACAGCATTCTGTGTTCCATGCCCATAATCTTGTATAAATATATAATCCTCCTGGGATCTGTCATTTATATTATTACAGAGTCATATTCATGCTATCTGTCCCCTCCCCTCTCCCCCCGCTCTGCTGTGATCTGTGTAATGAATATTCATATCACCTTCTATGTAGAGAGTTTAGCATATGATATGTTGACAACGTTTATTCACTTGACCTTATTCAACATCTACACCCTAAGGTAAGAGGGAATATACGAACCGGCTGGCTTGCTGGCTGGTACATGGTAGGCACACACAAATCAATGGACTGGGCTGTTTTTTTTTAATGGAGGCAGGACATGTAGATGATTTGGGAGAAGGGGGTGAGTCTGCAACCTTGACACCACTACAAGAACAAGAGGTGTTGCCAGATATCAACACTATGTAGATAGCAAAACAAGAATAGTAAACCAGCAGAGAACTGATGTCATCAATTACCTTGTACTGAGGGAGATGTCCTATGTGCAGTGAGGATGATTGGTCCGTTAATTAACTAACTAACTAATTTGTTCAATATCTTGAGTTCACTCTTGTATATTTCATTCATGTTTTTTTTTAAATGTGTTTAGGTTTATTAAGCTCTAGGTTATTAACTTTGTTCTTTTCTTATTCCTCATTTCAGGACACATTCTTAGATGATATCACAGATGTGAAATTTGCAGATGTGCCCACAGTTGACAACAACATGACTCTCCCAACAGTGGACACAGAATTTTTCCTACCTCAAGAACCGAATGCATCAAAATCTAGAAAAAGGAAAGCAGAATCCGAAATTGTGACAGCTAAACCATTTAAAACCAGTATGTTTGAAATTCCAGTGTGTGAAAAGATTGTGAGAGTAGAAGTCAACCCCCAGATTGACCATGATTACACAGCCAAGCATCGAAAAATGTCTGTCACATCAGAAAATACCTCAGAATGCCGCACTAACAGTGATAACATCAGCACAAATAAGTCTGTTGTTGAGGCTATAAGCATGCAGGAATCATGCACAAGCTCAGATAGCATGTTCTCAGTAGCAGATGACACTACTGCAGATAAACACACCATGAGAAGGATCAAAAATAACGTTGCTTCTAAAAAATCACGAGAGCAGCGTAAACAAAAGTTGTCTGACCTTGACCAGGAGGCTGAAATGTTAGTCCAGGCAAATGAGCAGCTTCGACGGAAGATCCTGGAGCTAGAAAAAGCATCCAAAGAAATGAAGGCTATGTTAGTTTCCAAAATGATTGGCAAATAAACCAGACAGAAAAACATAATTCCTGAAATGTCAGTAGCATAATAAATTTGCTTAACTCTTTTCATAAGGATGTTTGGATAATTCCTAAAATGTTGGATCCATTTTATGGCATTTTTGTTATCAGGAAAGTTTATATTTTCCACTGTAGTGTTGAAACATTTTTAGAATTACCAAATTGTTTGCAATAATCATTTCATTTTTCTAAAAGTTGCCAAAAATATATTTAAATTTATTCAGATAGTGATTAGTTTACAGTTTTCCTTTAAAACACCTCAATAATATTAGTAGTTCACAATTGTGGACTGCATAAGCTAAGACAAAGACTGATTTATTCAGTGCTGTGTGGTGAGTATCATTGACTTTTCCAATTTGAATAAAAATATATTCAAATAATACATACAATTCTAATAAGCATTTTAAAAATGCCACAATTTTATTATTTATTCAGGTTATCAGTGTACTGAAATTTAAAAACACGTTTCAGATATTTTTGTCTGTAATCTGTTTTAACTTATGTAAAATACTGTAAAGTTTATGCAAGAACTGTCATTTAAAAGTAAATACAATTTTATTTTTATACTTTCAGTTTATCATTTGTTCACATCAACTTCCTATTTGGCATTAAGCAAACTGGCTCGTCTATTTGTTCAGAGTTGTTTCAATATGCCAGGAAGTAATTTTGCTACCATCAGCAAAATCCATATTTTAGCCATGGGCTTTTTCACTTAGTACATGCCTTTTATTTGTAGCTGTTATTAAAATCTTGTGATAAAGAAGGTACATTTTTGTAAGTATATATTATAGTTTACTCTGGTAGAAATATCTGCCCCAAAAAATGTGAATGTGCACACAAGCATAATCATAAAACACACACCACACACTACCTGTCTCTTACTGGTTGACTCATTTAAGAATATTATGTTTTTGGTCAGGTTTCACATAACAATTTAAATTACTAGCAGACACAAAGAAACAAATATTTTGGTCCTATATATCTGGCGTTTATTATCGTAAAGAGTTCTGATGTCTGTTTAAATTATCGGAACAAAAATGTGTGTGGAGACAACTGGTAGCCGAAACAAATGATCGAAATATTTGTAAAACATTACTGTTTGCAACAATAACCAGAAATAAAAATCCATGCAAATGAAGTCTTGTATGCAGAACTAAATAAAGAAGACCAGACAAAATATTGATCATATTTAAAAAAAAAACTGTCCGACATTCCAGAAAAAATGGATGACTTTATTTACGCTGATCATCACAATAATATTGAAAATGGCGGAGAATAAAATGTAAACATTTTACAAAGAATAGTTTAATTTAAAGATGGTCATAAAATTGTACAAATTGTACAATGTAAGATGGCCGTCATATATGTGTACAAGATCTCATGTTTATTTCTTGATTCTGTGTATGTTATCTGTGTTTCTGTATGTGTGTGTGTTATCTGTGTCTCTGTATGTGTATGTGTTATCTGTGTTTCTGTATGTGTATGTGTTATCTGTGTTTCTGTATGTGTTATCTATTTTGTTGTTGTCTAAGACTGAAAATATATTCATCAGAAAACATGTCAAGTATGATTTGTTACTAGGATTATCTTCTGTTCAATAATGAAAATATTTTGTACAACACAGAAGAAAGAAGAGAAATAAATGTTAGCCTTTGTAAAACTACAGAGGTAATTTTCATCAGAAAACAAGAACTGGTGAAATGTTTAAATTTAATTCTGAAGAAAATGAAGCTAGGAGTCTGGGTTCTAATCTGGGCATTAATATTCGCAACAAGCCATGATGTGTCGGGTTGACAGCTGGACAGTTATTTAAAAAGCAAGGGGGGCAAATTGACCTAACAGGGACACCAGAAAATTTATGATTGTTTCATTCTTGGTGTTTAGTTTGAGGCAGCATGTCAGTTCCATTTTGATATGTTTTTGTGAACTTTTGTTTTGAAATTAGCTTCGTCATCAATGATCAATATCATATACAACTTGGAGAAATAATCCAGCAGAGAAATTGACCATCAAGCCAAAAGTGTACTGGGCAAACCTTATTTACAAATTTGACATGTGCTGTTTGTTTTCTCCTGGTCTGTTGGGAATTTCATTTTAAGACCTATCATATGCAGATTTAAAAAAAAAATTTAATTCTGGTCAATAAAATTCTTGAAAGTACATATTGAAGAATCATGTTTGTTTATGTGTGGTTGTATGTGTGAATGTAATTATATGTCATTCCGTGTTTCTTTTAGAATGAAGCTTCGACAGGTCCAGCAACCCAGCAGTGGACTTAAGTATACACAAAAACAAAATTTGTCTAGAAACTGTGAAATCAGAACCCTCCATAGAAGACTACAATTTGAAACAAGTGGAAGAATTTAAATACTAATGGAGTTTCTTTGCAAACAGTTACATACTAGACAGGGAGAGATAGAAGCAAGAATCCATCAACCCAGTAATGTTAGGCATTATCAAAAACAACATAATCAACAGCAAAATAAAAACTGCACAGAAAACGTAAAAGGCACATTTTCACATTTTGAGGCACACAAAGCAGAGTCATAGATTCACATTTTGAGGCACACAAAGCAGAGTCATAGATTCACATTTTGAGGCACACAAAGCAGAGTCATAGATTCACATTTTGAGGCACTCAAAGCAGAGTCATAGATTCACATTTTGAGGCACTCAAAGCAGAGTCATAGATTCACATTTTGAGGCACACAAAGCAGAGTCATAGATTCACATTTTGAGGCACACAAAGCAGAGTCATAGATTCACATTTTGAGGCACACAAAGCAGAGTCATAGATTCACATTTTGAGGCACACAAAGCAGAGTCATAGATTCACATTTTGAGGCACACAAAGCAGAGTCATAGATTCACATTTTAGAGAGCAACCATTTCCAGATGGAGAGCTACCCTGGTGTAGCGGCTGGACGTTCGCCTGCACATGCGAAAGTCGCGGTTTCAAATCGAAACGGAGTGGGACTTTTAAAAGAAAATGACCAGGATAAGTCAACAAGTAAGACGTAAATGGTTATGGGATGGCAGAAAAATGTATTGGTGTCATTAGGTGACAGCAAGATCGAACTTTATGTCTCCGTTTCTTTCTTTAAGTGGCGCTAGGTGCCGCATGCGCATTCGCAGCACAGAAACAAAATTACTATTGTACTTACGTAACCTCAAATAACAATGTGCTGTTGTGGGTTTTTGTGGGGGGGGGGGGGGGGGAGAGAGAAAAAGGGCTGCATTTAAAGGACTTTCATAGACAAATGCTTCCTATTCAAAAAGATTTGCATGAACGCTCTAAAATTGTTGTTGAAGTCCGATCTTGTCTTGCTGAGATTGCAATGCACGCATCCGTGCAGTTGGTGTGGGAGATTAGTAGAAGTGACAGGCGAGTAATGGTTGACTCTACAGCAGCTGCAATAGGGTGCATCACTACCAGCCCGAATCAAAGCGTTATTCGAAGCAATGGAAAGATCCTTCTTCGCTTTGTGTTAGAAAATTCAAGGTTACGCCATCAGCAGCGAAAGTTTATGCTGACAGTGTTCTGGGATTGTCAATGAGTGTTTTTAACTAGTCTTAAAAAATGTGACAATGTGATGCAGTTAAACTGTACAGTTATATCGATGCTTCATGATGCAGTTCGAAGAAAACGTCCAGATCAGCTAACTAGAGGAGTACTGCTCCTTCTTGCCAATGGCAGACCACATACGGTTCGGTTAACCATCTAGGGTTGGAACTTCTGGAACATCCACCTTACAGCCCCGACTTAGCCCGTAGTGGTTTCCACTGTTTTGGTCAACTGAAAAACCACCTTGGCGAGAAATTTCGCGAATGACGCAGAAGTTGAATGTGAAGTGAACATGTGGTTTAGAAAACAGAGCACGCAGTTCTGTGCATCAGGTTTGGGAGGACTGATAAAACGATGGGACAAGTACATCAATGTTGGTGAAAATTATGTTAAAAAATTAAGCGACAGTGTTTTATCGTTTGAAGTTTTTTTTTTTTTTTTTTTAAACAGCCATCTGTGACTTACTTTTTGACTTCCCATCGTACTTTGGCTCCCTGTACGGCCAGCCTTAAATGGGTAAAGGTAAAGTGCTGGGAACTAAAGGCGGCCAGTGTGGTGTATACCACACTACCCACCTAGTACCGATTAATCTTTAAAAAAAAATATGTCTAGCACTATATGCCCAATAAGCGCGAGGGCGCTGCAAGAAGTTTGTTACTTGTATCAGTTGTTGACGGATGGTGTAGTCAACATGGCGATCGCCACCATGACTTCCTAGAATATTTATTGGTACACATTTTAAGTTGTGTCAGCCTGGAAACACGGGTGCATGATCTGGTAAACACAAATCTGCTCGAACCCTGGTCCTGGAAAACTCTCTGCACGATTCACTACTCAACCACATCCCCTGGACGAGAAGTCAAAATGGCTGTATAAATAATCAACAACTGTATGAGAACAGAACAGAGAGCTTAGCAAAGGGTTGGTTGACTCGCCTTGGTAATGTAATTTGTTAAGCCAACAGGGTGCGAACACAACATTTATAGGCCAACAGATTGCGGTCCAAACGAGTGACACACCCGCCTCGTGGTCGCCAGAGACATAAGTATTAATCAATGATGATTGAGAAATCGACAGAGTGAACCGTGTTTATTGGATGTGTGTACAATCAAGGATTGAAACTGTTAGTTGGAAAGTTGATGGCATAGTAAATAAGACAAGAGAGCAAGAAAATGTGTTTAACTTTCATACTGTTCAAAATGTTGTCAATGTTTGTTTCAGCTGTGCATTATACAAGATGTATGTGAAGTAAAGATCCATTAACAGACCATGGCGTATCGGGCATATAAGGCTAGACTCGTGATTGTATAGACCTGAATATAGACCTCAATAGGTGATGTAGACAACATCACACCGGCCGCCTTTACTACGCTGGACTTTACCTGACACCCATTTAGGGCTGGGTCGACTTGAAAGATAAAG